GAAGAAGGAAATAATGAAAAAGGGTCCAAAAAGAAAATTAAAAAGAGAATCAGTCAAAGTTAAAAAAGAAGTTTCTCAAATCCATTGAGTGGCAAAAGAGAAATTAACAAAAAGGTGGGGGTGAAAAATTAATCAACACAATGAATAGTGAATCTAAGTCTAAAACAATAGTAAATATCTCAATTGTTTTTAGTTTTTTTTTACTAATATATATTGAATTAAAAAAAAGATAAACATTTTATTTAATTTTATAATTTTTAATCAAATTTTATATTTCATTCATGCTTCTTTATGTTTTTCATAGATTTTATTGTTAATAAAACACGATTCGTTTTTTTTTCCTATAAATTTGTTCTTAAATAAAAACCTACAATAATATAAATATAAAATTTAATGTATTTTTTAAAAAAATATCTTAATATTTTTTTATAAGACTACATATAGAAATATATCAACAATCAATATAAAAATTTGTATAAAAATTAACTAATGAATATTTTTAAACTTTTTAAAAATATGTACATTTGATATATCGACACACACACACATACATAAAACAATCAATAATATTAGGTATGAAACCATGCTTTTGAATTATTAGGTTGTTCCTTTAAAATAAATTAAATTTGGTATATTAAAAATAATTAATAGAAAATAGTTGGTGTTATATGTATAGATGCATAATTAATTTTTAATAAAATTAATGATCTCAATATTTTTTTGTATACATCATTACCAAACTCTGTACAAATTAAAAAATATGTTTACAAAAACTTAAATTGTAAGAAATATATTAAAGTTAATAGAGTGCAATAAAAATAATTTAAAATTTTATTCTAAAAAAATCGATTATTTCAAAAATAAGGTAAAGAAATACGTGAATTATATTATTTATTAAAAAACATATTAAAAATTCATACACGGAGAAAGATAAATCATATTTATTAACATATAAAATTTCATCAAAAATAAAAACTTTAATTTGATTAGAATTTTTATAATAAACAACAAATTTAAGAGATTAATTTTAATTATTATAAAATTATAATTCGATATATGTATTTGTTCTAAAATCTAAAAAAACATAAAAAGCCAAAAATATCTTTAAAAAAAAAAGAGGAACAAAAATATATTTTGAAAAAAATGTGAGACAAAAATAGACTAACTCTAAAACAATAGTAAATATCTCAGTTCTTTTAGTTTTTTTTTCTACTAATATATATATTAAATTAAAAATAAAAGATAAAAGTTTTAATTTCATAGTTTTTAATCAAATTTTGTATTTCATTCGTGGTTCTTTATGTTTTTTTTTAATAGATTTTGTTATTAAAAAAACATGATTCATTCTTTTATTCATTCGTTCTTAAATAAAAATCTACAATAATATACATATAACATTTAATATAAAATTTTTCAAAATATCTTAATGTTTTTTTATAAGACTACATCGGAAAAATATATCAACAATCAATATAAAATTTTGTATAAAAATTAACTAATGAATCTTTTTAAACTTTTTAAGAATATGTACATTTGGTATATAGACACACACATAAAACAATCAATAATATTAGGTATAAAAATATGTATTTGAATTATTAGGTGGTTCTTTTAAAATATTATTTTATTTAAAATAAATTAAATTAGAATATTAAAAATAATTAATAGGAAATAGTTGGTGTTATATGTGTAGATGCATAATTAATTTTTAATAAAATCAATGATCTTAATTTTTTTTGTATACGTCATAACCATATTTTGTACAAATTAAAAAATATGTTTAAAAAAACTTAAGTTGTAAGAAATATATTAAATTTAATAGAGTGTAATAAAAAATAATTTAAAATTTTATTCCAAAAAATTGATTATATCAAGAATAAAGTAAATAAACACGTGAATTCTATTATATATTAAAAAACATATTAAAAATTCATATACAAAGAAAGATAAATCATATCTATTAATAAATAAAATTTAATAAAAAAATAAAAAATTTAATTTGATGAGAATTTTTATAATAAACGACAAATTTTAGAGATTAATTTTAATAAATAAAAAAATATAGTCCGATATATGTGTTTGTTTTAAAATCTACAAACATAAGATGCTAAAAACATCTTTTAAAAAATATGAGGAATAAAAAATATATTTTGAAAAAATGTGAGACAAAAATAGACTAAGTTAAAAACATGAGATGTCAAAATATTTTTAAAAATATGAGGATTTAAAAATATATTTTGAAAACATAAGAGACAAAAAAGGAATGAAGTGTAAAATTTGAAAATGAATGAAAAAACTATAAAAAAAATTATGAAAATATTATTGTATAAAATTATAAAATTGCCACTCTAAGGAATAGTGAATTAGAGCAAATAAATGGTAAATGAACAGTATTTTACCGTTTATATATCCCCGTTCTTTTAGCTTTTTACTTAATTTTAAAAAAAATTAAAATAAACCTAAATATTTACAAGTTAATCTCTTTCTTTCTTTCTTTTTTTCTAAATTTGTTATTTAAGAAAATTTTATGAAAAATTTACAACTCGCCATGTGATTCCGTAATGATTCAAAATTTAGGTGGTGAAACATCTTGGTCAAAACTATACGTTACGGAACTTTTATTAACAATTAAAGTTAATTAGATCGAACTAGAGATTTAATGGTGGAAAATGGTTTCTTGGGCATTCTTTGTACATATCGAAGGAAAAAAAAAAAAAAAAAGAGGAGGGAGTAATTTACTGTTCACATGAACAAGCAAACGGAAAACAAAGAAAGGGAAGAAGGCTCGGGCGCTAGCTCAAAAAAAAAAAAAAAGCACTATAGCAATAAATAGTGATTAATACTGATTATTGCTATGATGAAAAATCATTTTATTTTAATTTATAGGTAATTGTCTATTTACAAAATTATTTATACAGAATTCAATTTCTAAATTTATAAAAACATGACCTTAAAATAGGATTTTCCCATAATTTTAATATTGAAAAAAAAGAAAAAGGATACAATTACTGTTAAGAGAAGAGAGAAAATTTTCTCCTGAAGATTTATAATCCAAATCCAAATGATTGCAAACAAAAATCTCACCAGACAACTAGTAATTGGGACCTACGTAGCTAAGCAAAACAAGACAGATTATTGGTCCGTGTAAAGAAAAAATAAAAACGTAGTTGACACGCCTGTGTTTCTTTAACCTCTCTGTAAATATCAGACTTTTTTCTAATATGAAAATCATCATAACACCGTTGCCCCAAACCTAAAATCTCACAAAATTATATATATATATATATAAGCCAATACAAATAAAAATAAAAATAAAAATGATAGATATACTAATTTGAATTAGTCTCTCTAGTTTTAGAAAATGAACTGATTAGTCCCTTATGTTTCAAAAACTAATGATTTAGTTTTTTTTGTCAATTTTACAATTTTTTATTTTAAAAAAAATTATTTTAAATAAAATAATATTAAATTAAATGTGATAAAAATTAAATAATTTGTTTGTGAAAAAAAAACAACTAATTAATTCAATGTTTTAAACTATAGGGACTAATATTTAATTTGCTCACTACGTTTTAAAGTTTTACCCACACCACAGATGATTAAAAAAGAAGAAAGAAACCTTCTATATATGCACAAAAAATTAAGAGAGAGAAGGAGAGAGAGAGACGCCTAAGCTTGCAGTCTTTGCTTCTATTTTCTGGTACTTCTTATTATTTCTTAACTTCTCATTGTTTTTTTTTTGGTTAAAAGTTTACCTTTTAGTTTTAAAGTTTTAATCTTTTTTGTTTCGTTAGGCTTTGATCGTGATTAGTCTATAATTATGCTCGCTTCTTCTTCTTCTTCTTCTTCTTTTTTCTTTTTGGTCTTTTTGGTTAAGTTAGGTGTAATCGGTCTGAATTTTGGGTTTTTGAGTGAGAATTCTATGTGGGTTTTTATTTTGTATTTAATTTAGGGTTTTTAATAGTTTAAAGTTTTACTTCTTTGAGCTTGATTTCAATTTTTTCAAGTTGTTGTTAGGGTTTGATGTTATTTATTTTTGTATCAGTCTTTGTTAATTTTAAAAGGCACCCAATTTCAATAATTCATTCTTTTATGTCGTGATCAAGTTTTTTTCCGAGCGGGTTACAGGATTTAGTTATTTAATTACGATTCTTTGTCTTTCAACTTTTATTTCTGGGTAGAAATTGTGTTTTTGTCCATTTGGGATTTTAGAATCTAGCTTTTTTTTTTAGTATGATTTGTCATATAATGAGTTGTCTCTTTGACACACTGTACTGTTACTGTCACCTTTTGTAGTTATTTATGTCTTTGGAAGGCAATTTTTTTTTATTAGAATCACTAAATCTGGTTATTGAAACTTGATTGATTTATAGGACAATGAGTTGTTGTAATTTAGTGGTAGCTACTTTGGTTTTTGATTGTAACTGATACTTTTCTATTTGTTTGGCACCAAGAAAAGGAAGGGAAAGTATCGAAATTACAAGTTTTTAATATTAGGTCCTCTTTTCTAAGGACGTGGAAATGCAGCTCCTGCTAATCTTATGACCTATAAGCTCTACACAATTTTTCTTTTGGCAGATCCATCTGTCTTAGCATGCATATTTGTATTCTTTTTGTGTAAATTAATTCCTTTATTTCTTTCTTTAAGTGAGTAGATCTATGTATTTCATATTACTTTGTGCAACTTTACCATCACTGGTGGCATTTCCTATTATATTTACGGAAGCTTGAAAGCTCTTGATATGTTTGTTCCTGTTTAAGCTGCTTGTAGTTTTTTGTCTTGTGGCACCAAATATTTTCTTTTCCTAAAGATTGCTCATGCTAGGCGTTTTGCTTTCTAATTAACCATATTATTCTTATTGGCAAAATCTTATTTCCCCTTTCAGGTTTTCTCCTGCAAAGATGTCATTCTGCAAGGAAAGTTTGTGTTTGGCCATACAAGTGTTTCAGTACTGATATGGCATTATTGGCATCTTGCCTTGCTGGTGCAGTTGACCTAAATGGACAGAAATCCAGGAAAAGGCATGATGGATCAGCAGAAAAACTATGAACAAGTTTGTTACAATAACATGGAAGCTAGAAATGAAGGGCTGGGGTCTGTAAACCAGAGGTTTTTCCATGATCCATCAGCTAATATTAATTCTAACCTGCGACCTCCTGACTACAGCATGTCAATTGGAGCTAGGCCTGTGTTAAATTACTCCATTCAGACTGGCGAGGAATTCGCTCTTGAATTTATGCGGGAGAGGGTGAACCCCAGGCAGCAGTTTGTTCCAAATGCTTACGTTGATCCTAACAGCACAACTAGCTATATGGAGCTAAAGGGCATGCTGGGATTGTCTCATACGGGTTCAGAAAGTGGGTCTGATATCTCTATGATTAGTACAGTAGAAAAAGCTCGGAACCAGGATTTTGATAGGAAGGGGTCTTCTGTGCACGAAGACCAAAGTTATTATGATACTGTCCAATCAGTACCACAAACCTCTTCGAGAAATGACAGCAGTCGAGGAGTTCATGGTTATACATCTTCAGGAGCCTCTGATAGTTCATCAACCAAGGTGAAGTTTCTCTGCAGCTTTGGTGGTACGGTTTTGCCTCGTCCGAGTGATGGAAAGTTGAGATATGTTGGGGGTGAAACACGCATTATCCGGATAAGCAAGAATATTTCTTGGCAGGAGCTTATGCAGAAAACAATGGCAATTTACAATCAATCTCACACTATAAAATATCAGCTTCCTGGTGAAGATCTTGATGCGTTGGTTTCTGTATCCTGTGATGAGGATCTTCAGAACATGATGGAAGAATGCAATGTAGCAGAAGGTGGGGGATCAAAGAAACCTAGGATGTTCCTGTTTTCTAGCAATGATCTAGAGGACTCCCAGTTTGGCCTGGGTAGTGGAGAGGGTGAGAATTCTGAGATTCAATATGTAGTTGCTGTAAATGGCATGGACTTGGGCTCAAGGAAGAATTCAATTAATCTGGCAAGTACATCTGGGAACAATTTGGATGAGTTACTCAGTCTTAATGTTGAGAGGGAAAGCAGTCGAGTTGCAGCCGAAATAACTGGCAGTAATGCTCCATCTTCAGCTGTTAATATGCTGCCTTCAACAACCCAATCTTCTCAACCAGTGCCAATGAGTTCATCTAGTACCCACGAATATAATTCACAGCCTAACCATGGCCAGAAGATGCATCATGGAGATGCTGGTCAGCTTCCAGCATCCTCCATGCAACCTATGGAGAGCTTCCCCCAGGTGGATGAAAAGGGAACCAATCCATTGTCGGTCCCAATTCGATATGGTTTTGGTTCTCATCTCCTGAACCATGCAATGGTTGGCGAAAATGTGCCTTTCCATGTGTATCCAACTCAACAAGGGGTTTTGGCAGAAGAGAAACCGTATGGTGGCTTTCATTTGCAAAATGCTGAAGTATCTGTAAAGGATGCAAAACTGAAAAGAGATATCTCAGGACAGAAAATAAATGAACCTGAGAAAGTTCAAAGTCTGGATAAGGAGGCAACAATAAAGGAATTGAAAATGAAACGAGATGATTCACTCCAGAAGCTTAATGAAACTGTTAAAATTCGAGCAGTGGAAAATAAGAATGCTTCCTTGCATCCATATGATAGTTCTGTTCCAAATCATACTTCTAGAGAAGATGCATCGGTTGCCAGTTCAGTGCCAGAAGTAGGGTCACCTCTGCTGCTCACAAGAAGTAATAGAAGGCCACAAGAACCTGTACCGAATTCGACGTCCGCTGAACCTGTGACTGAAGGAACAAAGAGTAATGGGGATGACCATTTTCATTCATCTGCTGATCCATTTGTCCCAGGATATGGGGGTTCTGAGGCAGATTCAACAGATTTTAGCTATCTTGAACCATCTGTGGTTCCTCATCGGGTTTTTCATTCTGAGCGAATTCCCAGGGAGCAGGCAGAATTAAATCGCTTGTCAAAATCTGACAATTCCTTTGATCCGCAGATTCTAATAACTCAAGCACTTTCTGCTGGTTCTCAACCAGTTATAGAATCGATTGACAAGTTGCATGAAGGAAATGTGGCTTCCCAGACTGACCAGTCCCACACATCTGCAAAATCGCAATATGCAAATCCTCAGACTGTTGAAGATGGACTTGCGCAGTTCGAGAAGTATAAAGAATTTGCTGATAACATCAGTAAAGTAAATCCCAATATTGCTCAAGGTCTTGGGTCAAACATGCAGAAATCTGAATCGAGACGTGTTGTTTTTAATCCTGTGGATGATTATGAAGGTTCCCAGGTTAAAGGTAACTACACTGATTGCTCAATCAATGATAACAAAAGAGCTGGGTTGACACACCCAACGGCAAGTCAGGGAGCTTCCAGCAAGCACCCAGAAAATCCTGCTTTGGGGCCTCCAGAGATTGAAAGAACTGAGATTTCTGCTGACAATAACAGTGGGAACAACAATAAGGTGAATGTTCAGCCTTTGGCATGGACAGAGAGCCCAGTTAGAACTGTTTCTCAAGGGGAGCGCAGCATTGGTGTTGACTCTCCTGAGCAGAAAGACATACGCATCGATATAAATGACCGGTTTCGTCCTGATTTCCTGTATGATATTTTCTCACAAGCTAAAATCCATGAGACTGAGGTCAGTCCAATGCCTGTTGACGGAGCGGGCTTGAGCTTGAACATGGAGAATCATGATCCGAAACGCTGGTCTTACTTTCGGAACTTGGCTCAAGATCAATTTGTTAGGAAAGATGTTTCCCTTATAGACCAAGACCATCTGGGTTTCTCATCCTCACTTACAAATGTTGAAGGAGCCCCGCCCATTGATTATAGTTATCCACCTTTAAAGTCTGATGGAGTTGCCTTGCCTCATGTTGAGGAAGATGTTCATCATGTGACATCTGGTGTTGTTGGGCTGAACACCATGGATTCCCATACTGATTATGGTCCTTTTGAGCTGAAGGGTACTGAGAGCACGCAGTTGGATGGGGTGAATGCTAGAATACCAGAATCAGAGTATGAGGTACTTTGATGAGTTCTTCTATTTCATCTGTTTGATCCCTATGTCTTAACCTTCTCGCTATCCTTTCACCACTCGTTCTGATTTTCTTATCACTGTCAGGGTGGGAAGATGAACATTCAAAACGCTGGTGCAACTCTTGTTGACTTTCCCCTAGGAGAATTTGATATTAGCACCTTGCAGGTAATTTCTTTCGGTGTTTTTTTTTCCTTTTTACTATGTCAGTGCCATCTGGGAGAAGCTGAAAATATTGTTTGTTGCAGACTCAAATTGCATTTAATAAGATTATCGCTTAAAAATTATCATATGTGAAAATCTCATTAGTTTAGCTAAGGTAATATTCTAATAGAATGGAAGAGCATTGAAGGACTGAAAATTGCAAGACTTGCATCTAGAATCTGCTCTGATGTCTTATGCGGAGACCATAAGAAATGAAAAGGAGAAAAAGAAGTATTATAGTTAGTGAGAAATGAACAGTTTGACACCACCTATTTCCATCCTGGAGGAGGGTGTGATCAATGGTCAACAGTTCAACCCACTGGAGGGGTGGCAAATATGAAGTAACACAGGTTGTGTTTCCATGACACTGCTTTCTTCACTGTAGTGGATATAAGTAGCATACAACGTCAACACTGGTAATGTTTGACTAGAGACTGTTGGTGTTTTGTTCCACAGTGATGCTCTGCATTTGCAAACTTGTTTTAGGAAGTCCCACACTGTTTTAAAAATGAAAACAAAATAAATGAAACAACATTATGTCACATGCTCGTGTGGAATGGTTTTGGCATATCCAGGATTTTTTTATTTTTTTTGTTTTTTTTTGAATGACCTGGTGGACTCCAATTCTTGCTATGCTATTTGCTTTTTTGCACCTAAAGTGCATAATGGGACATCTAGTGACATGCTATTAGTCATGCATTATGTTGGACGTTTTTTTTTAAGACTTCCTACCTTTCTTCATTATTGTTGGGGCTGTGCAATTGATGTCATCGAGGATTTCTTTTATTTGTATAAATTGTCTGTCATCACAGATCATAAAAAATGAAGACCTGGAAGAGCTGAAAGAATTGGGGTCTGGCACATTTGGTACTGTTTATCATGGAAAATGGAGGGGTACAGATGTTGCCATTAAGCGAATAAAAAGAGCTGCTTCACTGGCCGTTCATCAGAACAAGAAAGATTGGTGAGCTTCGTTCTAGTGATTCTTTTTTAGTGAACAATTAAACACGGAAATAGTTAACTTATAAACAAGGCAGTTGCATTTGTAATAGCCATATACTATACTGGGAATGCCAATGAACCTGATTATTAAAATTGCTCAAGATACCCTATTTTAGCTTGTAGAACTATTTCTTAGGTCAAGATCCCTCTTACTAACTGGAATCAAGAATTACTAGCTGTTCTGCCCAAAACGGCTATGAAAATTAATCTATAATCTAATAATGGAGTCAATTCCATCATTATAAGATCATTTCATACTGGGACGAGACCGCTATAGGTTTATATACATTCTCATTATGAGAAAAGGTCTTCGAGCATATCTAAATCAAGAATGTAATTACATTACACATGGATCCCTCTGTCATTACATTTCATTTAGGATTAGGAATAGACATAAACAAGATTGGTGAGCTTACTTTCATTCTAGTGATTCTTTTTAATGAATAATTAAGCATGTAGATGGTTGACTTGTACATAAGGAAATAATTATTCTTAAACCCTTTTTTTCACATCCAAGATCAAATTTGGGCTAGAAGGCCAGGATCTGGTCCATCTCGGATGCTTTGAATGTCTTCCCATTTAGCTTGTCTATTTTGGTACTGCTTGGTGGGGAGTAGACTTTGTGTGTGTGTGTGTGTGCACGAACAGAGTGGATGGTAGTTTTCACAAGTTGAGTTCTGCACAATTATGTGTAACTTGATCAACATTGTGATCTACTGCCAGCATATCAAGAAGAATAGGGATTTTTTTTTTCTATGTTTATCTCATTCTGCATCAATAACCAGTATTTTTATTTTTTCAGACAGTTGAGTTCTGGCGTGAAGCAGAAATCCTTTCAAAGCTTCACCACCCCAATGTTGTTGCATTTTATGGAGTGGTGCAGGATGGACCTGGAGGAACGCTTGCCACTGTGGCAGAGTTCATGGTGAATGGCTCTCTGAGACACGTTTTACTTAGCAAGGACTGGTAAGATCTCCATATATGTTTGAGGGAATCATTGCACTATTTAATTCAATCTCTGTTAGTTTCCCGTTTAACTTTATCTTCATGAATGTCTAGGCATCTTGATCGTCGTAAGCGTGTCATTATTGCGATGGATGCAGCTTTTGGAATGGAATATTTGCATTCAAAGAACATTGTGCATTTTGATTTGAAATGTGACAACTTGCTGGTCAACCTGAAAGATCCTTTACGACCGATTTGCAAGGTAGCTGTGGTACTGTTGCTGTTTGAGTGGATTCCATATGTGATATATGTTGCATAACTATCAGCCCAATTTCTGAATTCTTATTTACTTAGCAAGCAGCCGGTAGCTCAAGCTAATCTAATGTCCAAGACATAACATAAATGCTTTCTGTTTGTACAGGTTGGTGATTTTGGTTTGTCAAAGATCAAAAGGAATACCTTGGTTACTGGTGGTGTAAGGGGAACTCTTCCATGGATGGCTCCAGAACTCCTGAATGGCAGCAGCAGTAAGGTTTCTGAAAAGGCAAGTAACAAATTTCTTGTTTGTTGCAAGAAATGCATAATTACATCTCTATCAGATATTGTTTACCCTGAATTTTAACTTCAAACAATGCAACAAGTTATTAAGATGCTTATAAAATGACATGAAACTTCGTTAAATGACTTTTGGCACAGTTTCTTTTGGTCAATTCGCAACACTGATTATGCAATTAATGCTTATAGCTTCTTTGCTTATCTGCAGGTTGATGTGTTCTCTTTTGGCATTGTCTTATGGGAGATTCTCACCGGTGAAGAGCCTTACGCCAATATGCATTACGGAGCGATCATAGGTACGTGTGAAGTATTTCAGTTACACCACACAAGTGAGACACATTTGATGAACCATAGTGCCCAGCGTGATAGTTTATTCCACTGGTGGCTGATGTTTCGGCCTCTTATGCTCATCTAACTTTGCTGTTATTTTAGATTTGTTTTAGGCATATTGGTTTGAGTGTTATATCCTCTTTAAGATTCTAGAAATTGGTGTTTGCTGATAAATGCATCAAAACTTTTTATTGATACTGGACTTGTTTAGTGATTCATGCTCTCTCTGTTGTATTGCTTTGTACGTCTCTCCTACCTTGCAGGAGGCATAGTCAATAACTCCTTAAGACCGCATGTACCAAGCTCTTGTGACCCTGAATGGAGATTACTAATGGAGCAGTGTTGGGCACCTGATCCCTTGGCCCGCCCATCATTCACAGAGATCGCCAGGCGCTTACGGGTAATGTCAGCAGCATGTCAAACTAAACAGATACCCAAGTCGTAATGTCAGCAACATGTCAAACTAAACAGATACCCAAGTCGTGATGCCTACGCCTTTTTAGCCCATTATCATGAAATACAATTGCAAGAGTTTATTTTTATTTATTTCATAAAGGTTGTGTGTATTATATCTATGAGTAGGGAGAAGGGGCTCCCAATGTGAAGGTGAGATTGAGTTTTGGGTTGTGCAGAAGAAACTTGAAGAAATTGAACGTTATGTAAAGCTATTATTTTTGTCCATAGTAAATACAAACATCAAATGAGAACTCTTTTGTGTATAGTTAATACGCACTGCATTCGGTTTGTATCTAAGGTGGAGCTTTCTTCTAGCCCATTGTTGGCTTCTACCAATTTGAGGAGCAACTGTGATATATATGTTTTCTCCGCTGTGTCCCTAACTTCAATTTTACATCTGACTTCCGCTTTTGACTTTATGTGATGTTTGTGCTGACAAGCTAGTAGCACTTTGATTGAAGAAACTGCATAATAAGTTAATTTTAGTTTTTTTTTTTTTTTTTTTTTTCAATGGAATATGTTAATCTTTTTTTTATAGTATATTAATTTTTTTGAAAATGCTAATCAATTTTTTTTTTTTTGTATGGTTTAATTTTTGATTTTGTAATGATGTTGTAATTAACGAGAGAAAATTAAATGATTATGTTGTTTTTTTTTCCTATCTCAAATGAAAAAGCTAAATAGTAAGTACAACTTTGAACTTTTTTTGTAATAAAGTATATTAATTTTTTTGAAAATATTAATCAAGTTTTTTCATTTAATTTTTTGTGTAGTGATGATGTGGTAGTTAACATAGAAGACTAAATAATTATATTGTTTTTTTTTCCTCCTAAATTGTTGTTATTGTTTAACTATTATTTTATCTTTATTGTTCTTCATGTATATATTTGGCATGCATGTATGTTTGTTGCTTTGCTTTTTTTTTTTTTTTTTGATTAAGAGTTAAATAATAATAACAATTTTGTGGGAGAAAAAATAAAAATGATAGTCATTTAGAGGGTGTTTGATAATCTATTTAAGTGGCTTAAAAAATTAAGTTGTAGTACTCAATAGAAAAAAGTTTGTTTGATAATCTAAATAATCTTATATTTAAAATTTAAATTTAGTCAAAATCTACTTAATTAGTTAAGTTAAAGTTTTAAATTTGAAATTTTTTTATTAACACGCTCGGTTAAAAAAATTTTAAAATTTTTTAAACATGATTATATAGCTCTTATATATTTTTATAACCCTAGCTATACAAACCAATTGAGGATTGAACTCTACTATTCCAATTGCTAAAACAAAGGAGACATTCATTACAAGGAATTTATCAATTAGCGATGGATTTTAGCGACGACATTCATTCCATCTCTAATTAGTGACACATTAACGACTAGTTAGCGACCGATATAAAAAGTTGATATTTACGACTCTTTAGTGACAGATTAGCAATGAGATGTTAGTGATGGATTTTTTTTTTTTTTTGTCGCAAATTTATGCGGTAAACAAAAAGCGCCACTTTTAGCGGTGCATTTCCGTCACTAATTAGCTACGGACGAATATCCGTCGCTATTTCATCACTAATTCGACATGCAACATAGCGACAGAGTTAAATCTGTCGCTACTTTTAAGCTTGTGACGAGAAAATAGAGAGAATTAACGACGGATAGGTACTCTGTTGCTATCTTGGTTTGAGAACGACGACGGAATCAATTCCGTCGCTATTCTGAGGGCATTTTTCGAGAAAAATTCACCAATTAGCGACGAACGATGATTCCGTCGCTAATTGTGGGTTTTGGGGGAAAAATCCCCCTAGAATAGTGACAAAATCAATTCCGTTGCTATTTTGGGGAATTTTTCCCTAAAAAAATTGATCAAATAGTGACGAAATCATCATTCCGTTGTTAATTGGTGAATTTTTGGGGGGAAAATCCCCCTAAAAATGCACCAATTAGCGATGGAATGATGGGGGATTCCCACCCACCCGACCCCACGAAATCCGCCACTAGCCCCTATAAATACCCTCTATCCTTTCATCTTCCCCATTCCTCTCCCTCTTCCCTACCAAATAACCATGCCTCTCCACGACGAACGAGTGACTCTTCAAATTGTTCAACAAAGTGAGATGCAACTTTCTTCCTCGAATTCAAACCAGATTTTTTTCTCTCTATCTCTTGGGTAAAACTTTCTCTCTCTAACTCTTATGTTTTTGTTTAAATTAAATTAATGTTAATAATTTTATAGATTAATTATATTATTTGTTAGTTGATTAATTATTTGAATGTTGTTAATTTTGTTGTTATGTTAGTTTTTAATTATGTTAAGTTGTATGTTAATTATTAGTGTAAATTTCTTAATTGTTTATTTAATTTTCTTAATAGTTAGATTAATGTTGTTAAGTGTTTTTTTTAGTGATTTTAATTTTTAGATAAATTTTATGTTAATGTAAAAATAAAAAAGTTTAATTATGTTAAATTTTTAGGCTAAATATTATTAATGTAATTTTTTTTTGGTGTAATTTAGTTTAGGTTCATTTATAGTTAAATTAAAAACAAAATTTATTTAAGCAATTTAGTTTTAAAATTAAAAAAATTTGAATAAAAATGTAGTTGCAAAATAAACGTAAATGTTAAAATATAATAAAATTTTTATTAATTAATAGAATTTGATAAACATTTTATTTAGTTTCATTTATAGTTAAATTAATTTTTTTAAATTTATGTAATTTAGGAAAATTTAATTAAATTTAGGATTAATTAAATTAAATTTAGTTGAATTTATTATTAAATTAGTTAGGAAAATTTAATAAAAATAAACGTTTTTAGCTTTAAAATACTTAAATACTTAATTTTAAGTAGAAAATGTAATTGGTTAGGAAATTTTAATAAAAATAAACGTTTTTAGCTTCAAAATATTTAAAATTTCATGTAATTATTTTTTTTTAATTTATGTAATTTATTTTGGAAATTAAAATAATTGGAATAAAAATGTAATTGGAAAATAAACATAAACATTAAAATTTAATAAGCATTTTACTAATTAATAGAATTTAAGAAACATTTTTTTTAGGATTAATTAAATTAAATTTAGTTGAATTTATTATTAAATTAGTTAGGAAAATTTAATAAAAATAAACGTTTGGAAATTAAATTTAGTTGAATCCATTCGACCCAAACCTTTTAAATTTAATACCTAAATTTAAAGCTGCATTTAATTAATTTAGACTTCGAATAATGTAATTAGATGATATAGAATAAAAAATCACATTTAAAATGAAAAATTAGCTTCAATTACCTAAATTAAGGTTTAGGCTAAATAAGGTTGAATTTGGAGTTTATGCATATAATTGATTAATGAATGCCTACTTGAGTTAAATTAGGTATAATTGAATGAAATTATATGAAAAATTGTTGTTGAAATTAAAAGTAAAAGGTTAGTTTAGGTTAGGGTTATTGTTCGACCTAAGGTAGAAAATGTAAAAAAATAAAATTATGCAATAAATCATTGAATCTTATAAAATTAATTATTTAAGAATTAAAAAATTAAAAAAATGTAATCATTACGTAAACAATTATTTAAATATAAAGTCAAATTCTTAGAACAAAATTGATAACTAATTAGAGACAATTATACAACTAATATATATGCTTAATATTTATTTAACATTCATAAGAATGATGATAAGTAATTGTTTTCATTGGTTGTGTCATTTTTACGGTAATTACAAAAATGAGATCCGATCGACAATGGATGAATGTTAGGTTAGTTAACGAATTGTTAAATGATGACTTTATCGGAGGTGTAGAACAATTTTTAGCTTTTGTCTGTTGAGCATCCTAAATGTATAGATGAAACCAAAATTAGGTGTCCTTGTAATTTCGATAGCTCGTCAAAATTAAAATTATGAAGAGTTTGAAACGATAAAATATTATTTATGCCATAAGGGTTTTGTGTCGGGATATTATGATTGGGTACATCATGACAAATTTGAAAGCTATATGACATCTAAAAATTCTAAAAGTCGGTATGTTTCGGAAATTATTATGTAGGCGAAGGTAGTTCCGGTGAACCCCAAACCCATATCAAACTATGATAATGGATGCAATCGGTCCATCCTTTGATCCGTCTAACATGAAGGAGGTTCCTAATCCTAGCGCACAACACTTTTATAATGTGTTGAATGCATCACGTAGAGAGATTTGGCTCGGTTGTGATGAGCACTCACAATTGTCGGTAGTTGCTTGAATTCCGAATCTAAAAGCTGAATATCATTTTTTACGGAACTCGTTTTGACTAGTTATATGAGCTGACGAAAGAGTTGATGTCGATTTATAATTGTATGACATGCAATTTTTATGAAACAAAGAAGTCTGGTTAAGGGGATGGGTTTATCGATTGAAAAAAATTCATTGTTGTTAAAACGAGTGCATGATTTATTAGAAGGAAGACAATAAATTAGATAAATGTAGATTTTGTCAACATCCTCGATATCGAAGTTTTCGTCAAGGATCGGGAAGAGGAAAAATTGTTCTAATTAAGAAAATATACTACTTCCCTCTAACCTCGCATTTACGAGCAATTGTATGCATCGAATGCGACAATTGAACACATGACTTGGCATGCTCGAACATAGGGGAGATGATGCAAGAGTAATGCGTCATCTTCTTGATTCTATTGTATGATAAAGATTCAATTAGATTAATCTTCCTTTTGCAACCGAGAGAAAAAATGTTCGATTAGAAGTGTACACCGATGGGTTCCAACCATTTAGTCAATCCGATACGTAATATTCCTCGTAGTCGATCATTGTGACTCCATACGATTTGCCATAATGGATGTGTATGAAGGAGGAATATATGTTCCTAACGAGTGATTGTTCCAAGTCCAACAAATTCAAAACACAAGTTGGACGTTTACTTGCGACCTATCATATCCGAGCATATTCGGTTATAGGAGATAGGTGTAGTGACCTACGATGTGTAGCATAAGTAAAAAAAATTTTATTGA